GACTTGTGTGTGTGTGTGTAATGTCTGCAGTCTAGACCTTCTCAATGTGTTTCTGTAGGTTCCTCACTCCACTCTCCCTACAGTACCACTTGATGAGGGACTGGAGAGCATCAGTTTCTATGAGGACCTGACCATCCTCCAAACCAGAGGAAGAACGAGCTTGTGGTATCAGGAAGTTCTGAGCAATGGCTTCCTTCTCTTCTGATATATAACCAGAGACCTAAGAGTGAGATTAAGAATGATATAATAGTCTATGGTGTTTCAATAAACTTTAATGTAAAAAATCCAATTTTGATCGGAATCAGCTCAAACTTGCTACGCAACATAAGAACATGTATATGTATCAGGGAATGTAATAAAAATGGAGAATTCTCTCCTAGTCATTTTTGATGAAATTTGGCCAATGACCCTGTACAGGGACTTTGGCCCAATTTTTGAGCAACTTTAAAAATTTGTAAAAAATTCAATTTTGATCGGAATCAGCTCAAACTTTCTACACAACATAAGTACATGTATATGTATCAGGAAATGTAATAAATATAGAGAATTCTTAACTTTTAAATTTTGACAAAATTTGGCCAAAGTCCCTGTACTATAGTACAGGGACTTTTGTCAAACTTTTGAGCAACTATCAAAATTTGTAAAAAAATCCAATTTTGATCGAAATCAGCTCAAACTTTCTACGCAACATAAGTACATGTTAGAGATGGGCGATATACCGGTAATACGGTATTATCGTGATTAATGATGCTATTTTATTATCATACCGTTAAATTTTTATGCAACAATTTTATTGAAATTTGCGGTTATTGCGATATTTGTTTGCTCACGTGATCACTTATGACCACGTGGACTTGCTAATTTGTAAGAAAAATGGCTGCCGATTCTGCTGTCTTGTCTCAGTTCTCTGGGCCCAGTCCTAGTTCTACCATCTTTAATATTATAAAGAAGAAGAACACAAAAAGCCCAGTTTGGGCTCATTTTGGACTGCGAGCAGATGAAGCCAATCGAGTGACGGAGGACGATATGGAGAGACCCGTTTGTCGCGAGTCATGTCCAGCTATTGCAATGGGACTTCCGGTCGCAT